AATCGTATTAATGGTTTTGTTATGAATCTTAGGTTGGTCATAACTTCTTCGTTATAACTCGGATTTTAGTGTTCTTTATATTTTTGAAAACCTTGAAATGATAACTATCATTTTAGGAAACCCAATAGAGACTTTTGAACATTTTATTTTTGATGCTATTTTCATTATATCAAAAGAGATTACAATTCTTGACTTTTTAGGTCATTACATTGATTCGAAATATTGGGTTGTCACAGTTAACCACACACGCTCTACTAACGACTTAAGCGAAGTGCAAAGTGTAATTTCATCGGTTAGCACCTTATTCACATTTTCCTAAAGTAACTAAGATTAAGAATTTATAAAAATATTTTGTTACTTTAAAATCATCATACTTTTAATGAGGATTAAAGTCATTGTCCTACCCGTTCAGCTAATGACCCTCCACCAGTGAAGGAAGCGGTGGGTGAGAGTGGACACTCATTAACCTGCCATTTTATAGGCAACAACCTTATACCCCCCTTATAGACTGGCTTTGTGAACGAGGCCTACTAACAGTAAAACGACTTGTTCTTATATATATATATATATATATATATATATATATATATATATATATATATATATATATATATATATATATATATATATATATATATATTATATTATTATTATTATTAACTTATAATATTATAAAGTATAAGGGTTGAATTTTAACTTTTAAAATTCTAAGGGTTTGAAGTACAGTTTTCTAAAGAGTGTGAGACTTTACATGTTCCCAAGTTTGAGGGCAGGTTTTGTAACTTTCAAAACTTTTCAACTTCATAACTTATGGGTTAATGGTTTATTAAAATGAGAGACTTTTCATTTTATGTAACCTATGTGTTTCTTTAATGGACTTTTAAAAGAGTGACTTTTGGTAATCCATATCTTGACGACAAATTATGGATTCCATTAAAACACATCAAGATCAAGAATTAAACTAACAAGCAAGTTACAAATAATTCCTATGATCTTCTAAACACATAAGTTCATTAATGTTCATATCAACAATTTCAAGAATCATAAATAAACCATACAAAACTTGAAATTTTGATATTAGCCATTGAAAATGGATTAGCATAACCATTACACCATCTAAAACTATTTTTATAACACCAAAACAGTTTAGGTAATGTTTCTAGTCCATTTCCAGCAGCAAAAGTCGAAAAAATGCACTATGACAAGCCAACTCGTCGAGTGCAAGAACTGACTCGGCGAGTTGGTTGAATATAGGCATGGACTCGTCGAGTCCCCCCATGGACTTAGCGAGCTCACTCAGGCATAAAGCAATTTTGTCAATTTTCTTTACAAGTTTGCATTAAGTATCAAGAAAACAAGCCTAGTCTCTGATACCACTGAAGGGTTTTGAGTATTCTAACATTCCTATGGTGTACATGCAACCCTAGAAACCGTGGGTCTATGTTTTCTCTAAGATACATGAAAATAATAATTTTTCAAGGTTTACATCCTAACTAACATGTTATGGGGGTACTTAAATCATAAAATACTAGTAGAATTACATACCTTTTAGTAGTGGTTGATTCCTTGGAGTTTGAGAGCCTAGCACCAATAATATGGGTGCCTCAAATGGAAGCCACAAATCACCACAAACTTTGGAAACCTTTAGAGGGAGTATGAACACTCGTAGAAATCAGCCACCTTTGCTCACACACAACTAGTGCCATTTCATGTGTCAATGACTCCTTTATATAGTGTGGTGGATTAGGGTTACATTCATATAAACCCTAATACCCATGACCTTTCATTTACATGAGATCCATGGGTTAAAGCTACATGGACTATCCATGGACTTTCCATGCAAGCCTAGTACATTCCAAATAAGCAATAACCCACACTATATAAATACAAGAGCCTATATTTAATTAGTCACCTTTTTTTATCACCAAATTAATTCTAAATTAATTCTAAATTAATTCTAAATCAATACTAATTAATTAATATGATTTCATATTAATATATTAGAACTTATAACATATTAATAAATCATAAACATACTATTCTCAAAAGATTATCCATAAATTGTTCGGGTGATGTGTAACCCAAATGGACTATGTCGGGTCAGGTCAAGTACATGTCAAATATAGTTATGGACTTAAACACCTTATCCAACACCGATACCATAAAGTTTTTGGAATTAATTGATAATATATTCACCAGAGGAAAAATGCCTATTTATAGGTTAATTGCAGATGATATCCTAGTTGTACAATCAGTGTTAATTCCTATAAATCAAGGATTCTACCTATCATTCAGGGATTTACAATAACTAATATTTTTCTTTAATTAATACACATAAATCTATAGAAACCATTTCTGTAAATAGGTTATTAGCAAGGGACCATTTATGTAGGTTTTTGAAACATAGGGACCATTCTTGTAAAAATATGTATGCACAAAGACCTATTCTGTAACTTGTAGGAACCATTTTGTTAATTATTTTCTATCGTACGTACCACTTATATAACTTCTTATTAAATCAGGGACATTTTGTAAGTTAGGGGCAATTTTTTATGTATATTTTTTTAGGGTCTGTTTAGGTAATACCCCAACAAATGTAAGTAGTTATAAGACATATTTGGTATGGAGTGTTTAGGAGCTTCTAACTCCTAGCATTTGACAAAACACTATGTTTTAAACAAAAAGATCCATTTGACACTACAAACATTTAGCGTTTATTAAAAAAACAATCTAAATTTAAAAAACTATCCCATGTAGCGTTTAAGAAAAATGCTAGCAGCTAGCTGCTACCCGATACCCACTACCAGTTAGTTTTTCCGAACACGTTCATATAATGTATTGTAATTTTCTCATTTAATTTTATTTGGCCCTATATGATAAAAATAAATTAGCTTATTGTAATTAGTTGTTTGATAAAACCACAAAACTAGCATATAAGTTAGTTTTGATAAGAAACTTTGAGATAACTTTAATAAACTTATGGAGCTTTTTCATAAATACTTTAAACTAGAAATTGCCCATACCCGCTTTGCGGGGGATGCAATTGAGTTTTTGCTTATTATATTTTTTTTGGAAAGGGAATTTCCTTAACGAGTGTTTTCGGGCCAATTTTCACATACCGACTAATCCCCCTGTTGCAAACATGAGGCTTTGCTTCATGCCCTAGAGTCATTGAAGGCGAATCTTCATGGCCAAAATGGTTGAGTAGTGTCAGGATTTGAAAACGGATCAATAGGTTATATTCTATATCTTCTATATGTCTTACCAAATCACTACAACTCATTTGGTGACTTGGTTTAGTTACAATAAATGAAAGTACTACTATTTATCATTTCATCATTTTGTGTGCAAGATTTTCGGGGGACCAAACATGTCGACATACGAAAGTTAGGGATCAAACCTACAAATATTACAATATACAAAAGTTGAAAGGGATGGAAATTGCTGTTGCTCATAAAAGTGGCATTTTATATCTGTAATTTAGTGGAAAATACCATTATATAAAGTAAGGAAAGGAAAGTGTCACTCTACAAAAAGTTGGAGGAAATTGCCTCTGTACAAAACTCTAGCGACTAAGTATGCCAATATAAAAACTTTGTGATCAAAATATAAAATATAAAATAAAAAAATTAATTTCTGGACAAAATATGAAATAAGAAGCCATTATGGCTAAATTATAAAAGTACAAAACTATACTATTCAAAAGTTGATTGTTCTTTATTATATATAATAATAAAGGATTACTTATATATATTCTTTTTTCTTATATATATATATATATATATATATATATATATATATATATATATATATATATATATATATATAGGTTCAGGTTCATTTGAAACCATTCTAATTTTGTGAGACCGTGAGACAAAATCTAAAAATAATTTTAAAATGCAAAATAAATGGAAAAATCCAAAAATTCTTTTTTTAAATATTATTTTCGGAACTTGAATTAACTAAAAAAAATATTAAAAAATATTAAAAAATTAAAAAAAAAATTAAAAAAAATCCGTTTTTTTTTTAAAAATACGTGAAATATTCTAAATAGAATATTACACTGACATATTCTAAAAAATAATTTTAAAATGCAAAATGAATGGAAAAATCTAAAAATTCTTTTTTTAAATATTATTTTCGGAACTTGAATTAACTAAAAAAAAATAAAAAAAATAAAAAAAAAATCTTTTTTTTTATACGTGAAATATTCTAAATAGAATATTACACTGTACATATTCTAAAAATAATTTTAAAATGTAAATAAATGGAAAAATCAAAAAATTCTTTTTTTAAATATTATTTTCGGAACATGAATTAACTAAAAAAAAGTAATAATAAAAAAAAATGCGTCTCACGATCTCACAAAATATAGGTGGTCTCAAATGAACCTATATATATATATATATATATATATATATATATATATATATATATATATATATATATATATATATATATTATTTGCATTGCAATCTAGCTTATCAACTATAAACTATTTTATTATCTATCCACTAGCTTTCCATCTAAGCACATCATTTTCTAATACATTAAGTTTTTATTGATGAACTAAATATAAAATAAAATCCAACAATATTCGATATTGATGTTTTTTTAAATTATTTATAAGATTTCATTGATAATATAAGTTATCTATCTATTTTCACCATAAGAAGTTCCTATATAAAATATAAAAATGCATATAAAAGCCACACGATGGAAATCATAAACTAAAAAAATACAAGAGGTGCATTGCATCCATCATTTCTCTGGTGGGCCCGTGGCCCCATTATTTTTTTTGTTATCAAATTCATTTCCACAAGACATACAAGGAGTCAAGACCCATTTTTCCAATACATGGTAAAGGCGGCTGGCATATTTAGCAATATAATAATATTCAAGCAGTACTAAGTAGACAGTCTACTTAGTTGGAATTCAACGCTACCTAACAAATATGCAACCAATAAATTAATCAAAACCGAGCTGCTCAATCACTCTATATAATAACAATCAAAGCATTGCCATCTTCAACATCCGAATTTCAATCATCATTTCAATTAAGAATCCAATCTGAAAAATGGCTCTCGTTAGAAACAACAGTAGCAATGGTCGGGAGCCAATTCTAAGCCCCAGGAGTCTTACTAGTCCTCGGGGCTTAACCAGTCCCAGACCATTGACAGTCCAACCGACTCAAGAACCTGTTCGCCCTTTGGCCAACTTCCCACCTTCCATTTGGGTTGATCGATTCATTTCATTCTCACTTGATAACAACGTAAGATTTCAATTCTAGTACACTCTTTACTACTTAATTGTATGGTATAAAATATACAATACATTTCCATCATTTTATTGATTGATTCACATATTTATTCATTATAGTTATAAGAATATCATTTTTTTACGTTTAGAAAACGAAGAACTATTTTGTATAAGTTTTCATGTATCATTCACTTCTTGGTACTTCACATAACTTATAAAAGATGTATTCTTTTAAGCTAGCAATGGAAGATTAAAAGTTTGACACTTTATTATTTCATATTCTAAATGAGTAGTTTTGTTATTTAAAAAATGGATTAGGAAGACTCGACCAAACAATAATGGGTGGCACAATTGTGCACCAAAACGAAATTGAATCCAAACCGAAAATAAATTCAAAAAACAAAAAAACTGGACCAACGTGAAAAAATACTGTTTTGTTTCTTTTTTTTTTTTTTTTTAAATCAAATTTATGGGTTGTTCTTACTTAAGATTTATTTAGGGTAATGTGGTTTGTTTAACAATCTAATAAGCTCTGTTTTTCCATATAAATTTCTAGAATAGTGTTTTTAAGTATTATATATTGTGAAATACAATAAGTATCTAATTCATGTTTTCATAGATTTTGACTTCAACAAGTTCATATATAGTATAGCTATTTTAATTGCTCTATAAAAAGTCAAAACCGATTTGGTTGGACCCAAAAACTGAAAACTCAATCCCAGAAAAAACAAAAAGCAAAAAAAATGTTACTTTTTTCGTCTAGAAACTTAATCTTTTCGGTTCTGTTTTACACAAAAACCAAACAAAACCATATCATGTTCACGCAAAAAAATAAACATTGTTTTGATTCATGTGAAATGTATTATTGTGGCCACAGGAATTGGAAGCTTACGCAAACGCACTTGAGGGCCCAAAAGAAGCAGTGAGGAATTTAATAACGGACACTACATTTGATGCAACCGCAAAACTAAAGTTGATCTACTCTGTGCATCGTCTTGGTTTGTCATATCTTTATCCAGAAGAGATCGATACAGAACTTAATGAAATCTTCAAGAAAATTGACTTACAGTATTATGAACAAGTTGATTTGTACACTATTTCAGTACAATTTCAAGTATTCAGACACCATGGTTATAAACTATCTTCTGGTAAGTCAACTTTTTGCCTTCAAAGAAACTTGAAAAACGTTTGACGTAACTTTTTATGGTGGAAAAAGTTGCAAAATGTTTATTATCTTAACTTTTAGAAAGTTGTTATAAGTTCAATTTGCTAAAAATTTGTCGATACAATATTTATTTTTTATTTTTTTAATCATTCAATGTTTAAAATTCTAAACTTTTCAAATTTGCTTGCAAAATTATTAATTACTTTCGGTTTTCCTTTATTGGAATTGTAGTTTAAGTTTATTATTTATTAAATCCTCGTTATAAGGAACCCAAAACCCATAATAGATTGATTTTTATTTATGAAATTCAGTTTTGTTTATTAGAGTTGGGTAACATGAAGTTTTAGTAGTGTTGAAGTTGACCAAACCTTTTTTATGTAGTCGTATAATTTTATTTGATAAAATTGCTATGAGTCAAAAATCACATCATCATATGAGACAAAAAGCTATAATATCTTGTGTGGACACCCAAAATATGAAAAACATGCGATCGTGACTCGATCTAGTTTGCTTATGAAAAGTCATAAAAACTTTCTTTACCCTCATTGAAAATAACTCCTAAAAAGTTTGACCAAACTCATCCACTCTACTTTACTTTAGTCTAACAACTAGTTACATGACTTATGCAGACGTATTCAAAAAGTTCAAAGACAACAACACGGGTACATTCACGGATGATGTCACAAAAGACGTGAAGGGTATGTTGAGTTTGTACGAATCAGCACACTTGAGGCTACATGGAGAAGATCTCTTAGATGAAGCTTTAGCATTCACTGAAGCTCAACTTAAAAGAATCGTAAGCACACTTGAGGGAGATCTTGCACGACAAGTTAATCAAGTCTTAAAGAGACCCTTTCACACCGGGATGCCAATGGTGGAGGCAAGACTATATTTTAGCACACATGAAGAAGATTTTTCAAGCCATGAGTCGGTTGTAAAGCTAGCTAAAGTCCACTTTAACTATTTGCAACTACAACAAAAAGAAGAACTCCGTATGGTTTCACAGTAAGTTCTCATTTAGAACTATAACTTTGGTAAATTAGTTTGTTTCAAAGTTGATGAATATGTTTGTTTTGTGTTTTAGGTGGTGGAAAGATATGGAGTTTCAGACATCGGTCCCTTACATAAGAGATAGAGTACCGGAGATATACTTGTGGATTTTGGGGTTATATTTTGAGCCTTACTACTCTCGGGCGCGTATCATAGCCACAAAAATCACTTTGTTTTTGGTGGTTTTAGATGACACATATGATGCATATGCTACAATCGACGAGATCCGATTGATCACAGATGCGATTAATAGGTATTTTGAATGCAATAAAACCTCAAATTTTATCTCAATCCATCAAATAGAATCCTTTTGCCCCGATGCCATAGAAAATTGGTTCTAGATGGTAGCTTGTAGAAGCCACAATGTGAATTTCAAACCCGATGTGGATTCGGCTTCTTTTGGAGCACTGAACTCTTATGTTTGCTATACAACAGACTGTTGTGTACTTGATTTACATATCTCATTATGTTTATAGGACAATGTTGTGTATGCTATTGAATCCTTTTTAATTACACATGAATTCATTTTAACATAATTTTGTCATGTAGGTGGGAAATTAGTGCTATTGATCAGCTTCCCGAATATATCAAACCGTTCTACAGAATTCTCCTCAATGAGTACGATGATCTCGAGAAAGAATACTCTAAGGACGGAAGAGCATTCAGTGTCCACGCTTCAAAACAAGCGGTATGATTCCATTATTACTTTCATCTTTATTAAGTGAACATAAATGTAATATTTATAAACGATACTAATATTCGTTAATTTTTTGTTATGAAACCAGTTTCAAGAAATTGCAAGAGGGTATCTTGAAGAGGCAGAGTGGTTACACAATGGCTATGTGGCTACATTTCCCGAGTATATGAAGAATGGTTTGATTACTTCGGCTTATAATGTTATTTCAAAATCGGCTTTGGTGGGGATGGGTGCGATTGCAGATGAAGAGGCCCTTGCATGGTATGAAACACATCCGAAAATTTTGAAAGCTTCGGAGTTGATTTCAAGACTCCAAGACGATGTTATGACTTTTCAGGTACAACCCAAGAGCTCAATATCTTTTTATTCCTCATACCTAAATATATTATCCTCTAAAATTTAAATTAGGGGAAATTTGTGAAAAAAATAAAAATAAAAATAAAAAAATAAAATAAAAAATAGGACTTAATGTAAAAAGTCTTGATTATCTCTATTAAATCTTTCTTTTGAAATCAAGCAAAAACAAACACTCGTATATACAGTTTATCCATTATCATGTCTTTCTGAATTAAATCTTTCTTACCTAAATTGAGTAAAAGAGAAAGGCACATATATAACTTACCAGATAAAGTCATGTCCGTATTAAGTCCATTATGTAAAAAAGAAACAGTTTCACGATCATAACTTCATGTCTTCTAACGTTGCAAATTGTAAATGTAGTTTGAGAGGAAACGAGGACAATCGGCCACGGGTGTTGATGCTTATATAAAGGAATACAATGTATCCGAAGAAGTGGCAATTAAAGAGCTCATGAAGATGATTGAAAACGCATGGAAAGATATAAACGAAGGATGTCTAAAGCCTACTGAGGTCTCGGTGGCTCTACTAACTCCTATTTTGAATCTTGCAAGAATGATTGATGTGGTATACAAATTTGATGATGGGTTCACCTTTCCCGGGAAAACCCTAAAAGATTATATTACCCTTTTGTTCGTTACTCCCCCTCCTAGTATCGAAAACTGCTAGGTTGTAACTTGTAATACAATCATCATATTTTCTCGGAAATTTTCTTATAATTTGCCGCGTATGTTTGCGCTCGAGTTGTGAGATTCTTTTTAACATTCTATTGTAATATTCTTGTCAAATAAAAATTTCTTGTTATGGTCTCTTTTGGGATGTTTTATGGTGTATTTCATTGATGTAATTAGGATTGTAACGCTCTATTATTATTATTATTTTTTTATTTTCCCCTATCAAGGATTGTCAGGATAAACTATTGACAGGAAAGCAAAATTGTAATTTTTTGAGAAAACCAAGGCACATTTCGTAAATTGGAAATTTTAAAGACATGAGGGAAAATTTGTTAAAATTACTAAATTAGAACTTAACATGGAAAACCTCTTTCTTTATTAGGTCATTCTTTCTACATTCAACGACAAACACGTGAGGAAATTGTAGAAAATAGCAACTACTTTCCGTATTTTACAGATATAATAAAATATTCTTTAATTCGTACACATAATTTCAATATACTTACATTTTTCTACTAATAATAGCCGCATAAAACCAATATATAACCTGAAACTTGGAAATTGTACTTTATTTATTTTACCTCTAACAGCAACATACTTACATATCTTTACACAAAATAATAACATGCTTAAAAATTCTTACTCATAATAGCAAGATACTTATATCTCTTTACCAATAATAGCAATATGTAACCTAAAACTTATAAACATCATAAAAGTTTAAGGTTATATACTCATATGTTGTTATTAATAGTAAGAATGTAAGTAAGTTTCTATTACGAGTAAAACATATAGAAACACATTCTATGGGTCATGTTTTTAATTTCTGTATTTGATTTCATTATAATCTATAAATTCAATACATAATCATAAATCATGAATGCCAGAATATTTCTATAGTGTACCTATATTACATTCATGAAAACCTATAACTTTTTAACCATAAGAAAAGCATAAGTTCATTGTTGAACGGATGGAGAAGGTGAAAGCTGGATTGAAGGCAATAATTCGGCTTTCAAGATTTGTTTCATAATGGATAATCCAGCAGGAGATACTTCACCTTGTGGTCCATCTACTGATGGTTTTATTACATTTATAAAGAGTATGTTATAAAATATGGAGAAGATAAGAAGCCCAAAAGCTGCATATGGTAGAAAAGATCCTGTGTCTGGAAGATCTTTTGTTGCTTCAACTGTTGTACCATATGGACTCGGATTCGAAGCTGTAATAATTTTGAACAGATTAAGAACTCAATCAGAATGCAATTTAACCTTCTATGTTGACGTTTATAATAGCCTTGTGGGTTCGCATAATTTCATATAATTCTTCCAGAGAAACCTATCATTTTCCAATTAATATGAAAAGCACCATTCGCCCATGGCGATGATTATCTGCAAGCAAGAGATTGAGATAAGGGGAAGATAAACAATTGATTAATTACCTTTGATTTTAGGAACAGGGTTTGTTTGTTTCTGAGAGATAAGATCAAGCTGTAAGTCAAGCTTTCGGAGGGCTTCTCGGGCCTTATCTGGGTCGAATTCGAACTCTGAATCGCTCTCCACAGCTCGATTTGGAAGCAAATTACTGCTCTTTTTCTTCCATTCGCAAAATCTATTGAATCCGAATCCAGATACGCAAAATGGGTGAAGCTGTAAGAGTGAATTATCACGATTATGAGATGGAAACGTATGAAAATTACGCATCATAGAAAGGTGTTACAAGTGTTGAATGAAAAAGGTCGGCAATTTGTTCAGTTAGAAGAGCGATAGAAAGTGGATAGAGTTGTGTTGCCGATGGCGGGACGTTCAAAGACCGATATGTAAATCAGTGGCCCAAAAGTACATGCCTTTATACACACATACAATGATACAAATACAAACAAATCACATTATTGTTGAATTTAATGAACAGTAGAATGCAAAATTGGTGATTACGGTATTTTCAATATTTACGGAAAAATTATATTTTAGTCTTAATATTTTTTCTAACGCAAAAGTTCTGAAAACTTTCAAAAATTTACAGTTTGACCTTTTTTAACCGGTTGAAATAGTATCAAATTAATTTGAGAATATTTCGTAAATCAACCTAAAATATTGAAGACATTTCTATAAACAAAAAATATTATGACTTTTCTGTAAATAAAAATATTAGGATTTTACTACAAACAAAACTCTTATTATTATTATTATTATTATTATTATTAAAAATATAAATAAAAATACTATTTTTTTGAACTTGTTATTAGTAATATAGTTACTAATACATATAAATGCATTTAAATGAAAAAAAAATAATACTAATGACATTGCTTAAGAGTAGAGGTGGACGAGATGGTGATGTTTTTAGCATTGAAATCATTAATGTCCGCTTGTATATTTTTACTTTGTATATGATCATTTCACATTTGTTATTATTGTTTTCAATTTAGAATATTAATACTTAACAATTTAAAAGAAATTGCATATTTGTAAAATTGTTTATAAATAGTTTAAGGTAGAAGAATTACTTTCCGAATCCAACAAATTCACTATAAACATCTTCATAGGTAACCCATATCAAAATTCAAAAGTATTAATTGCAATATCTTGTTTAATAAAAAGTAATAGGACTAATTCAATAGTATTATTCAAAATTCAAAAGTATTAATCCAAAAAACATGTCCTATTACTTTTTATTAAATAAGATATTGTAATTAATATTTTTGTATTTTTATATGAGCTACCTATATAGATGTTTGTAGTGGATCGGTAGGATTTGGAAAGTAATCATTCTACCTTAAACATTCTTATATATATACAAAGTGAGAAATCATTCTACCTTAAACTATTTATAAACAATTTTACAAATATGTAACTTCTTTTAAATTGTTAAGTATTACTCCCTCCGTCCAAATATTATTGTTTACAGGCAAAAAACACACAAATTAAGAAAAACATTAATTATCACTAACTTTATACAATAAAATAACAGGTTTGTCCTTACTTTGCATAAAATGTGCCATTAAATGCTTAGTTTGTTAAGTAATAATGAAGGGGTATTTTGGTAAAAATGTTATTTATTTTTGGAAGTGGACTATTATTTTGGGACAAACCAAAAAGGAAAGATGGATTATAATTTTGTGACGGAGGGAGTATTATTTTGAATTGAAAACAATAATAAGAAATGTGAAATGACCATATACAAAGTAAAAATACACACGCAGACAATCACGATTTCAATGCTAAAAGCATCATCATCTCCTCCATCTCCACCCTTAAACAATGTCATTAATATTATTTTTTTCATTTAAATGCATTTATATGTATTAGTAACAACATTAATAATAACAAGTTCAAAAAATAGTATTCTTATTTATATAATAATAATAATAATAATAATAATAATAATAATAATAATAATAATAATAATAATAATAATAATAATAATAATAATAATAATAAGGGTTTTGTTTGTAGAAATGTCCTAATGTTTTTATTTACAGAAAAGTCTTAATATTCTTTTGTTTACAGAAAAGTCATAATAATATTGGGTTAGTTTATGAAATAGTTCCAAATTAATTTGTTATCGGTTTCAACCAGTCAAAAAGGGTCAAACTGTAAATTTTTGCCGGTTTTCATGACTGTTTCGTTCAAAAAACAAATATTGGGACTAAAGTGTAACTTTTCAATAAATATTGAGACTTTTCTGAAGATTTCCCTTTTCCTAGTTATAAAAAGTGCAATTTGATTTCAATTTGATTTTTCTTTTATAATCAATTTAAAATTAAAATTTTTATATGGATTTGGTTATTTGATTTAACAGCCGTCTACATCATCCTGTTAAGTCCTACTCGTGCTTTACATGTGATGGGTATTTTCGTTTTTATTGAAAATCCGATTTACTAACTTCCAAAAATTAGATTTTCTCCATTTTTAAGCACAAATTTTGGACTCTAAATATAATCAAAACATACGAATTATTATATATTTGTGTTTTCCGTGATATATTCGTTTTGATATATCACACGTCCAAAACGGATTAAAAATGAATGAGAAATTACATATCAAAGTAAGGTAGTTGGAAGAGAATAACAAGTGGATTAAGTGACTTTTAACGCATCTCACATTGGTGGGAGTAAGAAAAAAATGAGTTTTATAACTACAATGTTTAGCTAACTTTGTAAGACTTATAAAACCGATGCTCTCGCTTGCGCGTGCATGCATACAGGGGGTGCAAATGCGATCCGGTTTGACTTGTTTTAAGCAAACAATGTTTAACACCCATACTCCCACCAATGTGGTCAGTTACAACTACATCACCAGTTTGGATTGTTTTAAGGAAATTGTATTTAACCAAGTGAGGGTTAGGGAGCCGGTTTAGCTTGCTTTAAGGAAACTCTGTTTAACACCCATACTCTTACCAAATGCGGTCCGGTTTTGCTTGTTATAAGGAAACTATGTTCAACACCCAAACTGCCACCAATGTGGGATGAGTTATAACTACATCACTAGTTTAGCTTGTTTTAAGGAAACTGTGTTTAACCAAGTGAAGGTTAGGGAGCTAGTTGGTTTGTTTTAAGGAATCTGTGTTTAACACCCATGCTCCTACCAAATGCGGTCCAATTTGGCTTGTTTTAAGGAAACTATGTTTAACACCCATACTCCTACCAATATGGGATGAGTTATAACTACATTAACATTTTGGGTTGTTTTAAGGAAACTTTGTTTAACCAAGTGAGGGTTGGGGAGCCAGTTTGGCTTGTTTTAAGGAAATTGTGTTTAACACCCATACTCCCACTAATGTGGTATTAGTTATAACTACATCACCAATTTGGCTTGTTTTAAGAAGTTGTGTTTAACTAAGTGAGGGTTTGGGTGACCTAGAAGAGTCACATACTGCTATTGTATTCTAGGAAACAAACACCCATATAGGGCAAATTTGTTTTAAGGAAACTGTGTTTAACACAACTTCAGCCAAATTTCTTTCTATTTTGATCTTTTATACAGTTTTGGGTGATACTATCCTAAGAGTTTTATCATGTATTTTTTTTCTTTCTTTTTCTTGTTTATTTCATGGACTCTTTATTGAATAGTCAATGTCCTACAACTTTCTCTACTTTCCTATCAGCTTATTCTCCATTGTGGAACCCTGGAAGCAATCGACAATGGTGATGTGTGATTGTTGTAAAGTGGTGATACTTAGTACATTGTGGGTCGATGCCAAAACTCGGGGGCGACTTTGGTCTTGTCATGTAACAC